AGACCACGGACATTGCCAGACCAGAGAATCCTGACTTTTAAAGGAGTAACCTGTACTGTACTATTCCCTGGGCTCCTCCTTTGTGCCCTACAACCTCAGATATGCACCACACTGGTCCAGTCTATACAGTCAGTATGGATACCTTTTCTACTTGCACAGTCTTGGGGAGAATGCGAATTGGCCATAACCCAAAACACCTGTTTGAAATTCATGTCTCTGTGTCTTGCTCTATTAACTTACACACATAACTTACATACTTTTTTTTTTAAAACCACCGTTTGGGTTGAAAGAGGACTGATTTCAACTACAGAAAGTATGACATGAGGATTTGTCATGATAAGATTTTGCACATTTAGATGCTGATCCTGCGATGAGCTGTGTACTGTCAGACCTCAGAACTTGCACGAAGCTCTACTGACTTCAAATAAATATTCAAACACTCACCCTGCTTATTAGCAGTTACATAAAGAGCGCACCACATTTCCACACTAGCACTAACAACATAGCTTTCATTATGCATATTTATTAATAATATTAGGAATACAGTGTTCTGTAACTAGGGCTCAAGGCATATTTTAATATAGCTGCAATAACCGTATCAAATGAATCCAATTTATTATGACACGCAGAACTGAGTCTGACTGGTAACGGGCTGAGAAGCCAATCAAAATTCTGTCTGATATCTGGGGATTTTAGTGAGTTTGACTATAGGGTGATGCGAGAGCAGTGTTCTTTTTCTGGTTTACCATCAGAAAACTAAGAAACTTACTATTTATTAACAAATATAGCCTAACTTCTTATGGTTAATTTGATTTTCTAGACCTGCTCCTGTTTATTGTTCTAAAGCAGACACGGACAAAAGCGGAGCTACTCTGGGGTTTTGAATGAACGGAGAAAAGATTCAACTCTCCCCAGTTACTGGGTTTGATTTTACAAAATAAACCCTGACATGGCACTTTTTGTAGATTATCCATTTACTAATTTTTCATTAACTGCACTAGGGAGCTAAGCTCATTCAATGGAGAGGGCCAAATTACATTTTTAATTAGGGTAGATGCACTGTGACTACTAGGACTCACAATACTCTCCAGTGTATTTCCCATTGATATTGAGGGCAAACTATGACCCTGACATAGTAATTATATTTTTAGGATCGCTGATATTTCTGCCCTTAAGTGGCCACTTATGAGTGGGACTGAAGTAACTGTGTATATGAATTAGGCAGACAAGTCCCTTCTGCATGCACAGCTGTCCATCTCTTTTTCTAGGACACTTGGGTGTAGGTGTTAGATTTCAGAATCACCAACTCATCCACATGAATAGGAGGAGCTTCTAGCTTTTAGAGCAGTTGGACCTGCATGACTCTGAATTGTACATTGACACCTGCACCCTGCAACCTACACTGAGGGATTTAGACTTGGCTCTGAGCTCCAATGAGCCACTTGTCCTGCCTAGAATTTGGCAGTCTAGAGCTCACTGAATCCCCAAACCTATAGAGTGGCTGTACTGCACCACCCAGCACCTCTGAGCCACAGGGTTCCAAAATCCACTACAGATCCCGGAGCCCCTCAGTTTCCCCCTACCCAATATCAGAGCCCTTGGCACCCTTAACTCTGCTAATCCCAGAGATCCCAGTTCACCAGTGCTCCCAGGTGCTCATTCCCAGAACCACCAATCCCAGAGCACCCCCAACTCCCTCAGATCTCACAATCCAGGAGCCTCCCTATCACAGAGCTCTCCCAACTTAATCCACACACCCCAGCACTCAACTATGCTAACAGCAGAGCTCCCAGTTTCCCTTTGAACCCTCAATCTAGGAACTCCCCCCAACCCTGAGAAAGGGCTAAGCAGTGAGGTAGTAAAGTTTGCAGATGATACAAAACTGTTTAGGATAGTCAAGACAGAAGCAGACTGTGAGGGACTCCAAGAAGATCTCACCAAACTGAGCGATTGGGCAACAAAATAGCAAATGAAATTTAATGTGGATAAGTGTAAAGTAATGCACATCGGGAAAAATAACCCCAACTATACATACAGTATGATGGGGGCTAATTTGGCTACGACAAATCAGGAAAGAGATCTTGGAGTTATCGTGGACAGTTCTCTGAAAACTTCCACACAGTGTGCAGCGGCAGTCAAAAAGGCAAATAGGATGCTAGGAATTATTAGGAAAGGGATAGAAAATAAAACCCAGAATATCTTACTGCCCCTGTATAAAACTATGGTACGCCCACATCTTGAATACTGTGTACAGATGTGGTCTCCTCACCTCAAAAAAGATATTTTGGCCTTGGAAAGGGTTCAGAAAAGGGCAACTAAAATGATTAGGGAGTTGGAACGGGTCCCATATGAGGAGAGGCTAAAGAGACTGGGACTTTTCAGTTTAGAAAAAAGGAGACTGAGGGGGGATATGATAGAGGTCTATAAAATCATGAGTGGTGTGGAGAGGGCTGATAAAGAAAAGTTATTTATTAGTTCCCATAATAGAAGAACTAGAGGACACCAAATGAAATTAATGGGTAGCAGGTTTAAAACTAATAAAAGAAAGTTCTTCTTCACACAGCGTGTAGTCAACCTGTGGAACTCCTTGCCAGAGGAGGCGGTGAAGGCTAGGACTATAATAGAGTTTAAAGAGAAGCTGGATAAATTCATGGAGGTTAGGTCCATAAAAGGCTATTAGCCAGGGGATAAAATGGTGTCCTTGGCCTCTGTTTGTCAGAGGCTGGAGAGGGATGGCAGGAGACAAATCGCTTGATCATTGTCTTCAGTCCACCGTCTCTGGGGCATCTGGTGCTGGCCAGTGTCGGCAGACAGGATACTGGCTAGATGGACCTTTTGGTCTGACCCAATA